AGAAGAGGGGGTCACATTATTCTTCAAAGCACCAGAGGGCAGAACAAGAAACAATGGTTGGAAACTGATCAAAGAGAGAAGCAACCTGGAATTAAGGAGAAACTTCCTGACAGTGAGGACAATTAACCAGTGGAATAGCTTGCCCCCAGAAATCATGGGAGCTCCATCACTGGAGATCTTTAAGAAGAGGCTAGACAGTCACTTGTCTGAAAAGGTATAGGTTCTCCTGCTTGAGCAGGGGGCTGGACTAGGAGACCTCCAAGGTCCCTTCCAACTCCTGTTCTGTTCTGTTCTGACTTTGGATGCTATTGCATTAGGCAGCAAGAGAAAAAAAATCTCTTGTAATAGTCAGAGCTCTTTGCTGTTCAAAAGAGGCTGGCTTATGCAAATATCTGTTCAAAAATGGTTGGCTTATGCAAATATCTGCTACAAAACATAAAGAATTTGTACTGGAGTACAAATATCAACAATGATTTGAGAACACCCCATCTGAATCCTGGCATTTGTTGCTGTGGTGTTGGCAGTTATGATTTAATTGTAGAGAAGATTCTGTGCAATGACCTTAGGAAGATACAGAACACCCCATGACAAAGAATGACTACCAAAGAGAAACTGTTATTATATACGCAAATCAATATGACAATGTTGCCTTGTGTTCTTAATGAAATTGTAAAGCAGCAGCTAGGAAAAAGAGAACTATCCGTTCTGACATTTTGGCAGGAGATAAACAAGGAAAAAAAAAAGTCATTACCCTTGAACAATGGATACTAGTCAGCAGTGGGAAGCACACATGCACACCACACACACACACACACACACACACACACACACACACACACACACACACACGATTTGGAAAAATAAATGGCTTACTTTATAAACATGCTCAGCCCAAGACTGGTATTGTTAAAAATCTTTATTGTTTTTGCTTAAACTCTGCTTAAACTGCAAACAACCACTCAAAGTAAATCTGTTTGCTGTAGGTCACCACTGGCTGGGACTGTCTAACCCAGTGGTTCTCAAACCTTCCTAATGCCACGACCCTTTAATACAGTTCCTCATGTTGTGGTGACCCCCAACCCCCCATCCAGCTGGCTGGGGAGGGGGGGCAGGAAGGCCGCTCCGCCAGCTCCGCCCAGCCTGGTTGAAGAAGCACCATTTCTCTCCCTCTTTCCTCTCTCTCTTTCTTTCTTTCCTCTCTCTTTCCTTTCTCTTTCTCTTTCTTTTCTCCCTTTCTCTTTCTCTCTTTCCTCTTTTCCTGTTTCTTTCTTTCCTCTCTCTTTCTTTCCTCTTTCTCTCTTTCCTCTCTTTTTCTCTTTCCTCTCTCTTCTCTCTATCCCTCTTTCCTCTCTTTCCCTCTTTCCTCTTTTTCTCTTTCCTCTCCCCATTTCTCTCTTTCTTCTCTTTGTCTCTCTCTTTCCTATCGTTTTCTCTCTTTCCTCTCTTTCTCTCTCTCTTTCCTCTCTCTCTTTCTCTCTCTCTTTCTCTGTTTCCTCCCTTTCTCTTTCTCTCTCTTTTCCTCTGTTTCTCTCTCTTTCCTCTCTCTCTTACGGCAGCATCGTCGGGGGTCCCCACCTTCCCCGGCCCGGCCTCCACTGCGTCTCAGCCAAACGGGTGGGGAGAGGGAGGACGGGAGGCAGCGGTTCTGGCGGCTGCAGCCACTGTTGCATAGGCAGGGGTCCCCGCCGCCCCTGGCCCGGCCACCACCCCCGCCAGGACTTTGTGCTGCCTGGCCTCGCCCTCCGCCCATCCGATGGAGCCGCGGTGGGGGCTGGTGCTGCATGGCTCGTCAGTCTGGCTGCTCCCCCCCAGGCACCCCTCTTGCCCCTGCGCCTGCCCGAGCCACCTTGGGGGCAGAAGGAGGAAGAAGGGGAGGAGGGATGGCAAGGAAGCCACTGCCAGCGCTGGGCCCCAGGAGGCAGTTCTTCTCTCCTACCATTGCTGAATCTCCTTCTTCCTTTCCAGCAGCCTTGACTCCGGCATGCCTTCCTGTCCAGCAGGTAGAATGGTCGGGCTGGCTGGGGATCGCAGGGGCTGGTCTCCCTTGGGCCACGGCTTGCGGGAGGGCTGGCCCACTCAGCGAAGCCTCCAGCGGGCTGCTCCCAGCAGGGATCCCGGGGCTTCCCCGGGTGGCTCCACGGCCAAGAGGCCCTGGCTGCGCTTCTCCCAGGAGGTGGGGCACCCGGGCACAGGGCCAATCAGGAGCCCTGCAGGAGGTAAGTCCACCTGAGAGAGAGAGAGAAGGGAAGCGAAAGTGCCTCTCTGTCTCTCTCTCTCTCTGCAAATGGCAGAGGAGGCCATGAGGAGACAGATGCAGAGCGGTGTCTCGGTTCCTAAGACCATTGGAAATATGTTTTCTGATGGTCTTAGGCGGCCCCTGTGAAAGGGTCGTTCGACCCCCAAAAGGGTCACGACCCACAGGTTGAGAATCGCTGATCTAATCTGACTCTTTCTTTTGACAGAGGCTCTTCTGTTTCAAGTACAAACAGATTGTACCACATTCACATGGCTGTTACTAACCCTCTCTTTTACCTGGCTTTGAAGAAGGAGACTAAGTTTGGAAACAGGCCTGCTTCTTTTATGCTGAGGTGGAGAGGGGTGAGTTTCAGCCTGTAGAGGGTTGCGTGCTCATTATTTCCTCGACACGAAGATCAGGCAAAACGTAATCCTGCCAGAGGGGCAAGACAAGATGGCACCCCTGGCCATTTCCAATTCAATAATTCAAAATTGTCAAGAGCTTCAGAATTGTTTCAAAGAGCATATTTTCTATGCTGCTTGGGGGCAGCAGAGTAAATGTGGGAACCGGGCAGTTCACATACCACACTCGATTTTTCCTCCTGCCTTTCCCTTCATCTCCTTGCCTGGCTGTTGCTGGTCACTTTGAGAAAGCTGCCTTGCTCTGCCTCATTGAATGGCGCTAGGGCAGGGATAGGCAACCTTGGCTCTTTTATGATTCGTGGACTAACTCCCAGAATTCCTGAGCCAGCATAGGAATAGCTGGCTCATAAAAGAGCCAAGGTTGCCTACCCCTGCACTAGGGTGAGAGGCTTCAGAATCACATCCTTTGAGGTTATTTTCTCAAAGAAAAGACCTTTTTTTTACAGGACAATGATGAAACTTTAGAAATGTTACAGTTATTATATTGTAGTATTCGTGTTTAATTTTATTGATGCAACCAGCTCTCCCCTTTCACTTAGCAACCATTCAAAATGGTGGTGGACCCCACCCCAAAAGACATTTACCACTTGCTTCCAAAGTTCTAACATTTGGGCCCCCACCCCACAAACACATGACTGCATTTTGGGTGCTTGACACCTGCCTGCAATTACCGCTGTTTGTGGTGACCTGCAAATTGTGATCACCATTTAGTGTTTTGCTGAAAACCAGCGTTCATTTACAGTATTCAGCAAAAATGTGCCCTATTGAACAATAAATTTGCTTAGTGACCGTGGCGTTCTCTTTATGACTGCTGCAAAAAAAAGACTATAAAATTGGGGTCACATGATGACCCACTTAATGACCAACACGATTTGTATCATAATGGTCCATTATGATACAAGTTGAGGACTACCTGTAATTTTATAAGTGATGATTCATATTTAAAAGGACTCTTAACCTTTTATTCTTATATGGTGATAAAAAAACTTGCTTTTTTCATTTTAAGAAAGAAAAACTGGGTGGGGAAGATTTTTTAAAAAGAGGATAAGGAAAAAAAACCAGTTATTGGATTGCTATTTCTTTCACAAAAGGCAAATATCCACTAATAAACAATTAAACAAAACTCAATATATAGATGCCATGGTACGTATATATTGTTCAAGATTCAGAATTGACCAGACTTAACCAACATGAATTATGAATATTCTGAGTTGATATGAAGGATTCCAAGTGTGGGGTCCCCAAGGATCTGTTTTGGGCCTGAAGCTTTGTCATTTGTTCATGAATGACCTACTGTTAGGATTGAGCAATTTAATGATGATTCCATTTACTGATGATACAAGTAACCCAGCATGACAAAACAAAATTGAAAAAAAATATTGCAAAGAGCTTCAAAGAGAAACTGGATTAAAAAGTTGGCTTTATTAGGGCCAAATGCATTTCAGCAAAGACACAACAGAGTGCATCTTAGCAAAATAAGGATGAGAAAGAGGGCCCTGAAATCATGATAAATAATAATAATAATAATATTAATAATAATATAAATGTGTAAATAACTCAAAGCCACTGTCATGTAAAAAAAAACTGGATGGAATTAAGAAAGGGATTGAAAAAGAATGCTAGTGCAGTCAGGCTTTTGTTTATATATTATTGCATTTGGAACACTGTATGGCAGAGGTGTCAAACTCGCAACGTTACGTGACATGTCGCGACATATCGTGACTTTTTTGCCATTGCCGGCCATGAGATGGGCGCGGTTTCATTATGATGCATCCGGCCTGCGGGCCTGCAGTTTGGCACCCCTGCTGTATAGTATACAATTTTGTCAATATAGAAGCCCCCCCCCCCAAAAAAAAAGTTGGCAAGGGAGTTAGAGCAGTTCTGACACTACAAAAGATTGGGGTGTTTGGAACTTGTTAGTGGTGGATATACAAAATGTTTCACACTGAAAATCCCCCATATTTTTTAATTAACACGAGGAAGAGAGGCTGCTTTGACAAGCAAGCTCTTTTTATTTGCTTCCCCAACTGGGAAACTGTTCTTTGTGTGAGCTGCAAGATAGCTAGCTCTCAGTTCCGACTCCAGTTAAATAATTACTTTCCACATTTGCCTTAACTAGGTGCCTTAATAACAGCTGGACATTTAACCGTATAGCTAATCCTCACTAACAGCTAATCCTCACTAATAATAATCCTCAATAAGCTTCCTTTGCCGATGCCTAAACTTAGCAACTCCAGGGTTGTGCGGGGATGTGACATGAGGAGAATGGTTGAAAGGCTATAAAACTTGCCCAAGATGAGTGCCAAGCATGGATCTTAGCTCTCTATTATATATATGCTCACCACAGCTGAATAGGAAGGGAGTCTCCAATGTTGTAAGCATCTGGATTTAATAATTTCTTTTACTAATTTTAGTCATCTGGTATCTTCCATTATATAGTCCAGGGGTCTTCAAACCTGGCCCTTTTATGACGTGTGGACTTCAACTCTCAGAATTCCTCAGCAGCTTCCCAGGTGTACCTTTTTGGGTCCTGTGGATCACAAGACACTTTCCTAAATAGGCCTGATTAGATAAGCGCCACTTGCTTTTTTAACAGATAAGCATAATGTAAATATATCATGAAGGGTGTCCTATGGTAGGAGAGAAACATTTTAAAAGCTTTAAAGCTTAAAGTTATGATGCTGCATCTATAAAGGACCATGAATCATACAGATATGATACAGCTTTATTGATCTTTTAGATCCATCACTCCTCTTTCCAAACCAAAGAAATGTTAGAAATAAATTATACAAAAGGGATCAGGACTCTGGGCTTTTTGCCCCCAAAACAGAACAGAGCTGGATCAAATTTGGTGTGAAGAGAAAAGCTGCCAAAGGAAGATTAAAAATGGGCCAGATTAAGCCAAAGACTGGGGAGGAACAAAAGTCCAGTAAACCCCCCTAGTGTATCCCTCTGGAAGAGGAAATTAGACAGCAGCTCAGAAGGTCATGGACTGCTATGTCCTAAGTCTCATTAACTCCTGGACACACAGCAAAGTACATGCAGCCAAAGTCCTAGCTTTCCAGTGCCCAATGTACACACAAGTATGTACACACACACAATGTACCCCCACACCATTACTCTATTACATAGAACAAAGGACAGATGCCTCCTGCATGAAAGAATTCCAGCTGTTTTCCCTGCTTGGTTTAAAAATACCTTGAATTTCATTTATGAAGTTCCTTTTCCATACCCACTTTCTCATTTCCTTTTTGGTAGGCTATGATAACCATAATTGTGCCTAATTACTATCTATGTTTCTATACTTAGCACAGGTGTTAAAGATGCCCAGGAGATTGAAACCATCTTATTGTTTCCATTAGTCCAGTGGTGTCATACTCAATTTCATTGAGGGAGGGCCGCATCAGCATTGCAGTTGCCCTCGGGGGGGGCGGGTGGGTATGGCCAGAGTGGGTGTGGCCTAACTGGGTGGGCATGGCCAGTTCTACATCATTCGCATCAAGGGTGCCTATGGGAGCCTGGGCAGGAGTGGGAAGATCTGAGGGTCTCTGGCAGAAGGGGGTGGGACCGGGGCAAGCACCAAGGCATGGTCCATTTCTTTATTCCTCACAAAGGGTGACACCTCCCCAGCATGCACCCAAGGGGCGGGGCCGACACAGCAGGGGCTGTTTCTAGATGGCCTTGTGGAGCTACGACTGAATGCTTTTCAGCATAGATGGCCACCACAAAATTGTACATTGGCTCCGGCCAGCCTAGGCCAGGGCCAAGGGAGTGGGGGCTGTTCCCTCACTGTTTCCAGGATGGCTTTGCAGGCCACATGAAACCACTTCGCGGACCGCATCCGGCCCCCGGGCCTTGTGTTTGACATATCTGCATTAGACACTTGAAAGATACAGAGAATCCTAATGTCTGAAAGACAGTTGCTAAAGAAAGTGGCATGATTCCATGTGCAGTAATCCTTCAGATAATTAAATAGCTACATTTTGACTTCCACAAAACTATGACCTAGAAAATTTGAATTGGCTCAAGAATATTACAGTACATATAAAGATTCATTATCTCTGAATATGTCTGAAGAGAGAGGAAGGGAAGGTGACTGGCAAGCATTGATTTGGAATGTCAACATTTCCTTAAAAAGGAACCTGCATGTAAACAGCAAGTAACAGATTCATCTGGACTGTATGGAATGGAATGAAAGGGAAGTGGGTTAACTCTTGGTTTTGGAATGAACAATGTGCTATTCATTTACAAAGGGCAAGAAGGTAAGGAGTCAGTTAATGTTTTCATCCTTAATTACCTTATCTTCCCACAGGTGTGTTGTGATTTTATTTTCCTAAACAGGAAAAAAATAACAATGCAACCTCCCAGTTGTGTTGAACTGCAACTTCCATCAGCCTGAAGAATAATGCCATTGGCCATGGATGTTAGAAGGCGTAGATCAATGCATCTGGAGAACACCAGAGTGAGGAAAGTTGGTTTAAAACCTCCCATGAAATTTTGAAAGGAAATGAGCCGGTATAATGCAGGGGATGAAAAGAGGATAAAAATATCAATAATCATTCATGACTGTGAGGGTAGCCTTAGCAAAAAGTGAGAAGCTGGAATCAAAATAGCTGCAAGCAACCAATACTGTTGTCCAAGGTGGCTCCAAAACTATTTAACAGCTGGAAGGACAAATTCTCACTTCTCTTCATCCATCTCTTTTTAAACCATTTAATTTACATTATTATACACTTGCTGGCTCTTTTACTTTCTCTGCATTTGCTCATTCTACCATTTCTCTTAAAGTAGAATGAGAATTTGGGATTTGAACCAAACTAGACTAGTGATTGGAACTTCTAGTCTGGCTGCTTCACCTAAATGCATGGATTGCAGGTGCACCTGTCTGCCTGTTTTCTGATGTCTCTGCACCTGTTATGAAGCAAAAACATCAAACTAGAGAACTCTCTTCACAAAGACTGGTTTAAAGTTCCTTGCTGCTGTATTAATTAATGGTGATGGTAGGACAACAAAACTATTGTCTCAATTTCCTCCCAGACGAACTTACATTCTAATCCATCAATCTTATTCTGCTTCTTTCTTTGGAAGGAATTCCTTTGTTGAAAAACTTACTGTATTCAGATCCGCTCCTATGAACTGGAACTATGACTTCCTACATACCTGGAGGAAGAAACATGTAGGTGGTTTATTTTATTTGTGTTCTCCTGTGATGTAAAGGAAACTGTTTCACAAGTAACACTGCATCACATGCATTCAGCCATAATTCATGTGTGTGTTCAGTGGGGAACTTTATGTTAAGTGTTATGTAGTGTGATTAGTTGCTACAGTTTGTTTTGCATTTCTAAAAGAAAAGAACAATGGCCTGGCAGCTTAGGCATACTACTCTGTTACTTGAAAAAAAAAAATCAAAATTGTCTTCAAAGTGTCGCTAACGTTATATTAGCTGACAGTTTCAAAGAACATTTGGAAAATTTAAAGCAGTAAAGAGTTATGCTTCTTTACATCACTTGTCAATATTGTGTGTCCTGAAAAGGCAAATTACTACTTTTCAAATAATTCCTTGTTGCTCTTACAGTTCAAACTTCAGGAATACACCTACATATAATTCACCACCACATCAGATTAGTAGTTGCAACAATCAGTTTAAAGCACAATAAAATATATTCAGGTAATCTTTGACTTAAGACCATTCATTCAGTGACTGCTTAAAGTTATGGTTGCACTGAACGAACTAATTTATGACCAATGCCTGAAATTACATCCATCTCCATGGATGACAAGATGTGTCAGGTCTGGCTGCTGGGTCAAGCTGGGGCTGTTTCATGTGACGAAAATGAAGAAGAAGCAAAAAAACAGCCCCAGAGTCAGAGTGCACCAAAAAGTCCCTTTCGTGCCAGGCTAGAGCTGGCCTTTGTGCTATGGGGGTGGAAGGAAAGCAACCCCCAAACCACAGTGCACCAAAAAGCATCTTGCCAGGAAAGCTGTAGGGTTTCAGTTCAATTACTAGCCAGAAATCAATATGAAATTCAGAACTTTCTTTCTGCAGATATAATATGTGTAAGAAAGTAGAACGCTCTGATACTAGTTTGGCATATTGCCTACGGTAGGTCTTCTGGATTACTCCAGCAAGTAAGCATACCTAAGGACACTCATGTGAGAAGCTTTTTTTTTTTTTTAACTTGGAGTGAATCCTCACATATAAACATCAATTTGGCATAAGCTGAAGTCTGAAAACTGCTTTGATACATACCTCTGAGCATGTGTTTGGATTCCTATGAATTCAGAGTTGTGTCCATAGTGATGGCTACAGCAATATTATGGGACCCAGAAGTAAGTAAGTAGGTAAGTGGTGGCAGAAATACAGCATACTGGTGACAATAGAATGACACTACTCAAGCTCAGCAGGGCACATAATTAAAATTAAGCAACATGTCCTAAATAAACCAAGAAAGTTGAAACATAAATCCCTAGTGAAGACAATTAATATTTAACTGAATCCACCTAACCTTAATATTTTTGCATTAATAGATACTTATATTTTAATTTAACATTTCATAATTTGTAACAAGCTCTTGATTTGTACATATTATGTGAAATAACTCTAATGCTGAGAAAGATGGAAAGACAGAGAAGAAGAGGATAAGCAGCAGCAAGGTGAGTGGAGTCTCTTACAGTGGCGATGGATACACCATTGTCAGACCTGACAAGTTAGGGATAGATCATTGGGGGGGGGGATCTATGTATTTGCTAGAAGTGGAAAACGACTGGATGACACATAATCAATCAACCAATGATATCTTGATAGCTTACAAAGTCAAGAAGGATTTTGTCCCAGGCGAAATAGTATATATATTTTTCAGAGGATTCTGAAAAAGAAATGGATTTCTTCAGAGGACTGAGAAGAAAAATTCCAAAAGTAGTAATAAGTAGATTTAAAAAAAAAAACACCCATTCTCTCCATTAAACACCCATTCTCTCCATCTAAAACATTTACAGCTAATTACTTCACCAATCACCATCCATATGTTTATCAAAAAGTCATTTTAATCCCAACTTTGTTTGGCTATTGTAACCACCACCGATAGCCTTAATTTATCATAAAAACAAAAATGGAGTCAATCTAAGGTCAGGTTCTAGTATAGAAATAAACATGAAAAACAATTAATTTTGAAGCTGAATCCTAAAAGAATCTGGGTAAATCAGAACCCAGTTCCAGAACCACAAGTTTAAGCGTCTTGTTTTTATTGTATATTATCACTTGTTTCCAATTTTTTTGTCCCTTTTTAAATAGAAATACCTTGAATCATATATTTTAATATACCAATCATTTCTAATACATTTCTCCAACATTTTTATCAGAGTGAACAATAAGAAAAGATGCTATATCACCAGGTATTATATTTAGTAATCTCATAATGCATAAAGGCTGGTATTGCAAGTTTCCATTAATTAACAGTCTTCATCTGACTTGGTAACTTTACAAGGTGTTTGACTGTTGGACAATTTGTTCATGAGGGCTCCTCAGTTTCTTTGAAGTGCTAGCCAATTATATCACTGTGGAAGAAATTTGACAGAGGAATTCTGTTCACCTGTCCTCAACATGTAGTGAATGAATATTACACTTGCTCATTGATATAGGTTGATCTGTCTGGAATGGATATTCAGAATCGAACACAAGTCTTCATGGACCTTAATAGAGTAGAACTTGAAACCCTCTTTCTTATAGAAACCAGAAGACTTACCTTGTCTGGGGAATCCATAATCCATAATCATTTGATTATGGATTATGGTACTGCAGGCCACTTTAGCTGACTGTGTTCAGCAGGTCAGCGGTTCAAATCTCACCAGCTCAAGGTTGACTCAGCCTTCTATCCTTCCGGGGTAGGTAAAATGAGGACCCAGATTGTTGGGGGCAATGTAAATATATATCTACATTGCTTACTGGTGTACACCGCTTAGAGAGTGCTTGCACTTAAAGCGGTATATAAGTCTCATAAATAAATAAATAAATAAATAATCAGGAGACAGAGGAGATTAAAAAATGTCTTCATTCTGGAAAAAGTAAATAAACCAAACATTAAAATGGGAGATCAAATAATTTTAAAAAACATGATTACATATATTAATATACTAGGACTGAAAATTGATATACATAGTAAATATGAGAGATAAAGTGAAAAAAGTTATAGGCCTGGTAGATTATGCTTGCAATTTCTGCTTATCTGCAAAGATCCAAAACATGAGGCTATTACTACATTTCTGTTCAAAACACAATATTGATATCTACTATATATATCATAAATGCTTGCTGTATAAATAAAGGTTAAATAAACAGGTTCAATAAAGCCTTAACAGAATCACAAACTGATCTTTGTTAGATAAAGGCTTAGCAGAATCACAAATTAACACTTGCTCCTAAGGAATGCACAGATGAATTTAACTTCCAAAGTAGTTGGTTTAGCATCATAAGCATTTTAGTTTTACCTAGACTGTAATCTGGCTCTGGCATTACAACATTGTTGATACATAAGCGATACCTTTTCTGGTAGCTCAGCTAGGCAACCTGGCGCCAAAGCTTACAGTATGTTTATTTGAAATCCTTAAACACTAAGAAATGGCAAGATTAAGCCTGTTGCAAGATATATTATGTGGAGAATTTTCTTCTCTCAAAAAAGTAATTATCTGGGGAAACTTTGCCAGGAGTTCTTTTATGATTGGATAACCATCTAAAACTGACTTTGCATTTTCTTTCTTTCTGAATATATTGGCTCCTGCAATATTATGATTGCCAATTTAACTTTTCTTTTTAACAAACATATAAGAAGTCCCTTCATAGGGCAGTGGGATCCAATTAAAAGCAATCTGAGTAAGCAGATTCAAAGCTTATGTATGTTGCAAAGAGATTCCTAATGTATTTCACACTTTCCTGGTCTCAGCACAATTGCTGCCATTTTCAGCATGGAGTTACCCCCATAAGTATGCTTGGGGTTTGGACACAAATAGGCAAATGATGCACATGCTCTCATGTTAAAGAGCATAGTAATATAGACTATGGGATACCAGAATGAGCTCCATGGATGCACGGCCAAAGTACATAATGGAAGAAACTACCAGATGCATTAGATCTACATATTCTCCTTTCCAAATCCAGTAACTGCTAAGCTTTACACAAAGTGATGTGGGTTGAATAGTTTCGCATAACTGCCAGCTCCACTATCCCAATTCAGTATTAGCAGAGATACGCAAAACATTCCATGTTTAAAATGATTGAAACAAACAATGAATTGGGTAGAGAAAGAGGGGAGCAACATTGCAATGAAAGCCTTGCTTTCCCTTTTGATGGGTATGCAGCATCACAGCACATTCAAAGGTGGTAGGGCTTGTTGCATTGTGATATCACTTCTGCATTTTGAACACCTTCCCTCAAAACCACTGATAGGAACTTAAAACGTTTTGCACATTTATAGGTAGTTCTTGGTTTGCATCCGATCTCTTAGTGACCGTTCAAAGTTCCGATAGACCTACCTGGGGGGCGGGATACTTACAACCTGGTTTCAAAATGCCAACACTGCCCCCCCAGGGTCATGTGACCACACTTTGAGTGCTTGGTATTTATAGCCATTTGCAGCATCCCATGGTCACATGACTGGATTTTATGATGATTTTTACTGAAAACCAGCATTTCCTTCTGGTTTTCAGGAAAAACACACCCGTTGCAAACCACTGCAGCATTTGCTTAATGAACACCACATGACCAATCCACTTTATGATCATCACAAGTTACAACTATGATGGGCAGGCTCCATTATAGTCATAACTTGAAGACTACCTGTATAATGTTGTAATGAATGCTACAATCAATAAATATAATAAAGACTGTATCTGTAAAAGCACCTTAACCAGACACGTCAACAGAATTTTGCTACTTTTGCCAAAATGATGAAATGGGTGTCAGACCTGATAGTGTTCCTAGTTCTACTCCTTTCTTGCTTGTTTTTCTTCAAGATTCAGTCATGAAAATGTGAACGTGCCTAGAAGAAAGATTCAGGAAACTGTACTTCTAACTCCTGGAAAACAGGAAATCTACACAAGAGAGCTTTCTAACAGCAGGGATATTTGCCAGGCTGATCAAAAATGTCAAGATGGTAATTAAAGACTTGTGGTGTACATAAAAAAGAGCAAAGCTTTAATCAGGGGGTCACAGCCCCCATCTCAACATTTTGACCTCCCTCAGGTATGCCTGATGACAGCTTAATTGGATGAGACACAATTCAAGAGTGTAACAGCAAAAGTCACTTGTTAATATGAAGCCACAATAACAATATAGCAACCAATATTAAATGTCTCCCACCTGATGCCACTATTGTTCATAAAGCAAGGAGCATGACTTTTGAAGAGGTATTTCCCTAAACTTGCCTAAACCATGTGTTGCAATGCTCAACCTCCTCAATGGAAGTGCAATGGTATGATTAAACGCAGCTACTTTCCTAAATAAGTTAGGGAACTGTTGTTGGGGAAAGTTCTTTTGAGGGAAATATTGGATGGAAGTTTGAAAGATTTATTGGCTAAATATTTCCTAGCAAATAGTACAGACAGAAAAAAAATAATTTACTGTTATTTATTCAGTGCGACGAAAGACAATTTGCTTTAGACATTCCTTTTGAAGGAGACACTTTTGGAGAAATTATGAATGCAGTGTGCTCTTCTTACATTCCCACAGATATGAGATAACCTCTCTTTCTTTATATAATCAATATTTCTGATGTCTTCCTGTTCTGTTTGCGAGTCAAAAGCATTGAGATAAAGCAGCAGTAACAAAAACAAGTCTTCTTTATTCAATTTCACAAACAGAACAGTTAACAAAATGGTGCAGGGCCTTTTTATACTCCCCTTGCAGGGACAGCATCAGCCAATCAATGCAAGGCTAATGGCCTGCCTTGTGCATGTGCATAAGGCTGGAGACAGCCTTCTGGTCCCGGGCAACCAGGTGGTCTGTCCGAGCCTTCTGCAGCTTCCTGAGCCTGCTGAGTCATGAGCCTGCACACAGGCAGACCCATTCTTACATTTTTTATTCACAAAATGCACCAACTGTTTAATACAGTGAAAAATAACACCCCTTCTTGACTGTGTTCTGCTTTATAGAGAACTATGAAGCTTCCCTCATGACTGACAGGAACCTCACATAGTCCTCTAGATGTTTGGGAGGACCCTTGGCCCGCTGTGACCTTCTTGGAGCCAGTGTGTGTGCCTGGCCTGCCAGGTCACCTGCCAGGCTAGGCAGACCAGGACTTTGATGCCCCAAAGACCCAAGTGACCCTCCCAGCTGCTGACTGGCTGGATTCTCTGAACCCAAACCAGAATTCCTTGGGGGGGGGGTGAAAGTCCCCAAGCTCAGTGGTGGGATGGAATTCCCCAAATCCACAATGGACCCCTCTTGGAAACACTGTCCCTCAAGCCCAAGACCAGCAGCAGGAGTGGCCTAAGTAGCCGATTGCCAACAATGTCCCATTGACCCGGTGCCTGTGCCAGAGTCAGGAGCCGCCTCCATGGCAAACCCCCCTTCTGGAACATGTGCTGCAGCATGTGAAGGTCCGCTTGGGCAGAGAGACTGTGGTCCACAATCGTAATTGTGGTCCTCCCCCCCCCCCAGAACAGAGCCAGGAGCGGAAGTGTGGCTGGGAAGCCTCCAGCGCAGTTGGTCAATGTGACGTCGGATCACACGACCATCATCCAAGGCCACTTCGTATGACAGCAGCCCAGAGATCTTGCATAGTACTACTGTCACCCAGAGATGTCCAGGTCCATAGTTCCTTCTCCAGACCGGATCACCCACCTTTAGTCTCCTAGGTGCCCACGGCTATGACACCTGTGAAGCCACCCCGTCTGGGTGCAACCTGTCCAGTTTTGTAATGAGGTGGTGACCCCAGCGGAGTTCAGCTGGGCTCTTCTTTGTGGCTGTGCAAAGTGTGGTGCGTTGGCAAAGAATAAAGTCAGCTAACCTGTGATGCCAGCTTCCATGAGTGATTCTCTTGAGAGCATCTTTGGTAGTGTGCACCATCCTCTCAGCCTGTCCCTTGGAAGCTGGATGAAACAGTGCTGAAGTGGCATGACAGATCAAGTTGGCCTGTAGAGAAGCCTGAAACTCAGAAGAAGTGAATTGGGGTCCATTGTTAGAGACAAGGATATCAGGACGTCCATGGGAAGCGAAGGTTCCTCTCAACACCTGGATCATCCTAGCAGTAGTAGTGTAGGAAACAGGAACAACCTCTAGCCACTTGGAATGGCTGCCCACAAGGAGAAGGAAGAATTGCCCCTGAAAGGGCCTAGCATAGTCGATATGAACCCTCGACCAAGGGGCATGTGTCTCCTACCACCTATGTACAGGGGCCTGAGGCATTTCAGGCTTTGATTGTTGGCACACTTGGCATCCATGAACCTGGGTCTCAATCTCTTTATTGAGCCCAGGCCACCAGAGATGGCTGCACACAAGCGCTTTCATCCAGACTATTCCCAGATGTCCCTCATGCAGAGAGAGCAAGACTCTAGTCCTCAATGAGGCTGGGATCACTACCCATAGCAGACAACCCTTGAAAGTGGAAAGCTTGTGCTTCCTTTGCCAAAAGCTCTGGAATTCTGCACCAGGACCCATGTCATGCCATCCTGATAACACTCATGTCAGCACACGTGTGAGCGTGTGATCAGTGGCAGTTTCTGCAGCCACGTCCCTAGCATT